TATTACGTCGTGACTTTATTTCGTTCACAACAGAACGCTAACTGACACACAGGTGTGTGTGTGTCAATCATTTCTTTTTACAATTGCTACAAACAAACCTCACTTACTCTCTACGAGAGCGACTTTTATGCTGTTATTTTATCGATTCGAATGGTGAATGAACGCACGGATGTCGAACGCAGGCGTTCGTGCGACAGAGTTTGTGTGTGTGTACGCTTCGCAGGCCTGTAAAATGGCTATGATCTCTATGTTGATATTCCAGTTATTCGGTGAAATACGGTTGGGGGCCGCGAGCACGACCTGCGCTGGAAAACACGAAAGCGTTTTCGCTCACGGCAAGGATCGTTCTCAAGGATGATCTCCGCGCTCGCGCACGAGCTAGCCTCGTCGCCGTTTAAACGCGAAAAGGTGAAAGTTGAGCGAAGCGTCGTACTAGAGGCTTTTCATATTTAAAGGTCAACAACTGGTGGCCGACAATAACTACGATGTTTCTTCCGCTTGCGTGGCAATTTTATGCCAATTTTGTCGCTACGTGACGGTACCGAAAGGCGGGGATGTTGGAGGAGCCTTTTTAATTTTTTAACAAAAGCGGCGACGAATTCACCACGGTGTTGAATAATATAACGATCTGAATAAAACAGCAGCGTGAGAAATAATCTAACGAATTTTTAATCCAAAGCACATTCGTGAAAAGCTTTTAAAATCCTCGTTGTATTAATATCTATCTAAAACCCCTTCCAAAATCGATATTTTGAAACTGTATTATTAATTACAGCTTTAAGGCATCGATAAAGGATTAATACTTTATTTAAAGATTTGTATTACGAATGAAAAATTGATGATCTTTCTTTGTCACATCAGCAAATTATTCATTATTATTTTAATTTTTACCTCAATTTGTTATTTATTAATCACAATTTTTTATTATCTAGACATTAGTCCAATAACCGTATAAGACTTTAATCCCCTTTTAAAATCAGAGATACTCAATTTTAATATTTTTAATATAATTTCTTAATCCCTTATAATTCAATTCGTATTCTGTTATTTCTGCAAGTTTAATAACATTTGCATGAAATTAATTATTGATGAGCAAGACGCGGGCTAAAGAAAATCTCGGAAAATGACGTGAGGAGACGATGCGTAGACAGCATGATGGACGGTGTTGAGTCGCTCGCACGCGAATGCCGACGGCTTTAGAGACGGTCTCAGCTTACTTCGTCGACGATTGTGCATTTCTCACTTTCTTTCGTGTAAGGGGTCCATTAATCGCCCCATATCCATTCGCTGAAAGGGAAGCCTTAAGAGCGTCGCGCGTGTGAAAAAAATATATACATACATATATACGCGTAAGAGAGCGTCTGCTTTTCCTCCTTTTTCTCGCGCCAACTTCTTTCGCCGGAGAGCGGATTTTATAACGGTGCGCATCCCGGCCGTTCGACTTCGCGTATCTCGCACGATGCTCTCGAGTCTCGCGGACTCGTTAATATCGTCGAACGAAAGTAAAAACTTTCATTCGCGCGCGCGCGCTGCTACTGACTGATGTCGTGTGTGCTTCCTAGGAAGAAGATCCCCGGCGGCGTTACGTATTCGATCGCGTATGTGCAGCCTGTGTACCAACCAGATACCGCGCGATTTTACGATACGCTTTACGCTTGGATAACGCTCGACGTATACTTTCGATATGTTACCAGTTACGGTTATTCGGCGCTCTGCCAGCGACGTTTATCGGTATCTTAAATCATTGATAAATATCGCTTGCTACAATTACGGTAGACTGACGCGACTCCGTGTATCTCGGATAGGTAATTTGAAGCTACAATATTTTACTTCAATATCACAGTTTTATTTTAATATTCTAATGACGTGATGTTTTTTTAAATAAGATATATCATTAATGCAATATAGAATTTCATGCTATTGATATTTTATACATCTGATTTCTGCTCGCACCCTTGCGCGCATCTAGAAGCGTTCTATTATGGTAACAAGGTTCCTGAATTGCCTTCGAGGACGTGATGCATTAATATAGATCTGCATTTCCATATGTATATGAATTTGCACATGAACGTGAACTCTGTTATAAGTAGATTGAATGCGCGCATCTGTGACGCAAAAATTATTATTCTAAAAACATGTACCTATATACTTATATATATTAGGTAATCTTCTTTCCGTGAGTGACTGTATGGGATCACTCCCTTTATAATCTCGTAAATTTTCATGGATGGCAAGTTAGAGTAGAGGGTGACCGGTTGTTGCCCTACATCGCTTCAATTTTCTTTTGTTCCCTAATGCAGCTCGTCGAGTCTCCTCTGGGGGTTTCCTGCCCAGGGAATTTGATTGATTTGCCACGATTTCCGCAGAATTCCAACTGAGTTGATGGGGCTCGGAAATACCTCCCCGAATAGATATAGATATAGATGTTTAAGGACCAAAAGAGAGAAGATTAGCTTTTGGTCGGTGAAAGTGCGTCATTAAGACGCTCGTCGTGATCGTGTCGTTGTACTTTGCTTAAATTGCATTGGAAATGAGATGCCCATCTGACGATTTCCATGGTAATTATGAGCAACGAAAATCATAGGCGGCAAAATCATTGTGGCGATTGTGGTGACAGAAAGAAAGCAAAATTATGGAGAATAATTTCACATTTCCTATAATCCCGCGTTAATCGGAAGCTATTTCTTGAACGTTAATAGGCTGTAGATTGACTCCCGGTCGCGCGCTTGGGCAACATTGAAAATAAACAGGAAAGTGTCTTTTCCATAAGATGTTTTACCCGCGTATCGAAATTTGTGATATTATTAACACATATAATATTTAAATTACTTCTTAAAAATGTTGTTGTTAGGTCTATTAATATTAGTAACATTATCAACATTACGCTTACATGCGGTTAATTAATATTGTTAATCGATACGTTTTCGTTGAAAATTTATTTTTTAATAAAATAAAATAAAAATTGATAAATTAAAACTAGAAAAAACAATGATTTATTGTACTTTTTATTTCAAGAGCTAATTGTAGCATGTACAAAAGATGGATAATAATTAAAAAAATTATTATTAAAGTGAATAATAAATTAGTGAAAAATATTTTATTGCTTACGTATTATCTTAAATAGATTAGCTATTGATTAAATCTTCACATTTCTTCGACATAACATTAAGTTTAATATAAACATCGATCTGTTTCTCTTGATTTTTCCAAATTTGATATTAATTAGTGAAATATAAGCTGCTTTTTACTATAGAGATAAGCTAAATAAAAATAATTGTTATTTATTTTTTACTTTATCTTTTCTTATAATACGGGACGGCTGATAACGCAAAATTGATAATAAAACGTTATCATTATTTACATAACTTCATAACATAGTATTGTGAGAGGACACATTATCGTGGCCGAAATAGCTCAGTTGGGAGAGCGTTAGACTGAAGATCTAAATGT